TTCAGGATGTTGAATATCAGGATATTGCCATTTTAGATTTTGGGATTCAGGGGTTTGAAATTATGGTCGATGGACTTCAGGTTATTGAAGAATTTGGCAATTTCTCTGACTTTATGGATTGGGCTGATCAAGGGGACTGTGCATTTAACTGACGTGGTTTGGATCCGACATAAGTGATTATGGTGGGGGTGACAAATTGGCCTATAAGGGATGTTTAATTTATCACAGGATTGTGATAAAACAGGGGGAAGATTGATTATTGATTATTTTTATTGATTGATTATTAATATTATTTTTATAATTATTGATTGAATATATAAAAAAAAAAAAAAAAAAAAAAAAAAAAAATATTCATGATCCAGAATCAACTATTTAGATGAGCAATTGAGCAAATCAAAGCTGAAAACACTAATCTGGTATGCATGGGATAGACTTTAAGACTGAGGTGTTCACCATGCAGGTACTCTCAACATGATAGGACCATGGACACTCTTAGGGTTGAGGACACGAGAGTGGGTGAGTATGGTGGTAGGTATAGGGATTATAGCTGGATTTTTTATGTGGGCCTGGGAAACAGAGTTAGGCCAGGGGTATGCAAAACCAACAACTGTCTATGGTAAGGAGAAAACTCTTGGTGTCAATTCCTCAATTTCTGATTATTCAGACATTTCACCCGGCAAACAAATGAGAGAACGCAAAATTCAACCTACAAAGGGGACAGGGATAAAAATAAGACCAAAAAGGGAATTGGATAAACTGGGAGCATGTGCAAAAAAGCGACAATACCTATTTGGGGTGCAATTGTGTTTGGCAAAGGGAGAACATATGGCATTCCAGGTACCTTTTATAGCATTAGTAAACAAAGGGAAAAAAGTGGGAGCAGAAAATTCAGATTATGAATGGTACATGACAAATGACATGAGAGATAAATCATGGGGGACAATGGTGGCATATACTGGATTAGATTGGACACCAACACCAACTACAGAGTTTGCAAGACACCATTCTAAAATAATTTCCATGACAAAGGGGATTATGCAGGGAAGTGTACCATGTCTTACAATTACAGTGGACTTGAGAGGTGAGTCATTGGACCCAAGAGACAGATCAGGGAAGAAACCTCTATGGTTTTGTTGGGGATTTCTGGTATGGGCATATGTGCCAGGAGAAGACCCTTGGGCATTAATTACTATATGTGAAGATCCAGTCAGTGTCACAAGAGAAGGGGGGCTTAACGTAGGACATGTAGGTAACACAAATCTAGTAATGGTATATAATGCAACTCTCTTACACGCAGATGATGTTTTCAGAATGGAGACAGGAATAACAGCTACAAAAAATAATTGGCTATTTATGATTGAGCAAGCTGCAAAAGCTACACAACTAAGTCAATGTATTGCTTGTATGGGACCAAGGCCTATGTTACATGCAGTACCGACTGTAGTAGATAGGGACAATCATACATGTTTAGTAGAGATTATGATGAGAGATAACCTATACCCTAACTGTTCACTATATGATAAAATATATCCGGTAACTGCCACAAATGCGACACCACCAATTTTTAATTCACAAGTAAAAGGTGAATACACCTGCGTCATTAGGAAGGTCCTTAGTGGAGAAAAAAGGGAAGTAGGACATGTAAATAGATCATTATGCATTAGGTATGAGGATTTCACAGAAAAATTAAATGGACACAAGTTGACAGTAGCCAGAGCAGATGTGTGGTGGTATTGTGGTGGCAAGTCTTTAAGGGGATATCTACACCCTCTGTGGGATGGCATGTGTGTGTTGATCTCATTACTTATACCAATTGAAATATCTCCAGTGGATCTAGAGAAGCCAGAGATTTTGAAACAAATCATTAGTGTAAAAACCAGATCAAGAAGGGCACTGGCTAGACCAGAGGAGGGAAGTCCAGTTTATATTGATGCAATAGGTATTCCTAGGGGAATTCCAAATGAATACAAATTGGTTGATGAAATTGCATCAGGATTTGAAAACATCCCAATAATCTCCGCAATTTTTCCAATAACCCCAAATAAGAACGTCGATCGGATCAACTACTTACATTACAACATACAGAGGCTAAGCAATTATACATATGATGGATTTGAGGCAATTCATGAACAATTATCAGCCACATCCTTAATGACCTTTCAGAACAGACTTGCTGTTGACATGATTTTAGCCAAAGAAGGCGGAGCCTGTTCATTGATTGGCCCTACGTGCTGTACGTTTATCCCAAATAATACTGCCCCAAATGGAAAATTAACAAGGGCCCTTCAGGGACTAAAGGCACTATCCCAAGAAATGAAGGCACATTCAGGAGTAGACCAATCAATGTGGGATGGGTGGTTGGATGTGTTTGGCAGATATAAGGCACTGATAGCATCAACTCTGCTATCGGTGGCTGTATTTGCAGCAATGACGCTATGTGGATGCTGTTGTATTCCGTGCATACGATCCTTATGTAACAGAGTGATAACAGCCGCTGTGGAAGGGAAGGTGGCAGAAAGACAACTGCTACTAACCCAGGACCTACAGTGGGAACCAGAAGAATTGATGACCATAGCCTAAGCCATAAAGGACAATCATCAGAAGAACGGGTGAGTATGGTCTGTGATATTGTCAGAATATCACCAGAGGAGTTGTGAGTATGCTTTATGATATTATCAAAATATTTTAATCAAAAATGTATGACTGCTTGCATGTAAATAACGCACATAACCTTGCAAAATTGTAAGAGGGACTTGGGAAAATCGGGGATGCGATAAAAAATTATAAAAATTAAAAATTAAAATAAAAAATTACATAATTCAAATTGATGCACGACACAAACATATTCTTTCTCCACAGCTCTTGCAACTATTGTTTTTGTTACACAGAATAGACACCGCAGCACACCCACATATAGAATATTTTATAGGATCACTTCAATGTATGTAGTTTAGGGTGAGTTGGATGCTCAGTCCGCCCAGAGGCCTTTGGGGCGGGTCTGAAGTAAGGGCTGAGTGGAAGACCACCACATTTTTCATAATGTCACATGGGGTGGTTTAGGAGTTCACAGATCGTCGTGAAGACTGGGATTAGACTGAGTATAGGATGTAATGCTGGATCAACTGATGAAGATGGGCCATCTGAGACGAGAGTGATGGATGTCCGAAGAGTTCCTCTCCGGCCAACAGGGGGACTGTTGGAATATTAACTCCTCCACCAGTTAAAAACTAAAATCAGTTTAGTATTGTTTCTGTTGCCAAATTAGCACTTGTTTGTGTAAATCTCAAAGAGCAGTGAGTTCAAGGTTAGTCTGAAATGGGAGGGGGACAAGAGGGAGACAAGTGTTATCAGAGCAGGTGCAAACGTTGGCAGCTGGCCAGAAGGAGTCGTGGAGTCCATACAGTTGTGATGTCATTGACCTTGGATGTAAAGTATAAATGTATGTGCAGGAGTGGTCACGAGAGACTTTTTGCTTTTTCGTCTGACAAGGAGCAGTGAGACGTCCCCGGGGGCCACTCCTTATCTGAACGCGAAGCGAGATCTGTTCGCGGACCGTTATCTTGTAATATTGCTTGCAAAATCTTCAATATAACCTTTTTGAAATCAGGTTTGGTATCTGTCATTTCTATCACTGTTTTAACATTGGTTTTTGTCTCTTGTTGAACTAAAAGGACCTGCAGAACGAAGGGCTGTGTTTGCGGCCTCTCTGCAGCTTCTGGGGCGGGGGAATTCTGACAAATTACTGCAGAGTGCAAAACTGTTCTGATGGGATCCACTACTTGCTTGTTACCATAGATAGGTTATTGCCTTGCTTGTAATTTTGTTTGGTTTAGTGCTTAATAACTATTTTTGAAAGTCGCATTACTTGTTTTCAATGTAAATGGAAGGTTTAATGCCATACTGTAGAAAAAGCCTGGCAAAAAGTGGACCAAGCTTCACCACGGCAGCTGTGAAATTCACCTTTAAAAGCATGTTCTCATTTTTGATACATTTTTCAATACTGTTTTATTTACCAGCCTCAAGTATTTTGCATAGTGTGTTCCGTGGCAAGAGCTCTGGTGTGTGCTATCCTGGTGCACAGTCTTGCACAGTTTTTCCAATGTGGTTTTACTGCAATTGCCAAATAAATTCTTGAATCTTGAGTCAATGTACATATAGTTTGAATTATAAATTAACACTTTTTTCATTACAAGGTAGACAACACATGTATATGGTTGGGTCACAGGTCAAACCAAATCTGTAGTCTTGCCCTAGTTTGCAGAATGCATTTTTCTCAAAGTTTCTCAAGTTTCTCAAAGATATTTTATTGATTTGATTGATTCATACACCAATAAAGTCACAGTAAAAAAAAAAAAAAAACTATAATGCGGATTGTGCAAAACCATACCCCCTTTCCTTGTGCAACCCATCGTTTTCAGAAGTTTCCTGATCATTTCTGAATTAGAGTGACAAATCTGATTTCATTTCAAGTACAGCTGCCGCAGGTCAGTTTATAGAATGCTGAGGGGAATAGTACCATAGGCAAATAATATCATGCACTAACTACACATCTGGCCTGTTTGGACGAGTGGTAAATAAAATGCATTGAAATAAAGCTGCAAGAAGAAAAGCAGAGGACACATTCAACATGTGGATGAAGTCCTCAGATGAGTCCAGAATTAAATTATCGGTGTGAAATAAGGGGGTGGCAACAACATGCTGTGGGGCTTCGTTTCTTCAGCAGGGACAAAAGAGTTGATGGGAATTTGGATGAAGAAAAATTCGGGAGAATCTTATAGGGAAATGCTAAAGTCTAATGGCCAACACCTCCAGTCTCAATGTGCCACGCTGGTAGAGACAAATCCAAACAGATGTGCAGCTGTTTTTAGGTGTTCCCACAAAGTATTTATTCAGGGGGTAGATACTTTCGCACACGACCCCACTTTTTTGTTTTTGATTAATAAAAAAAACATTTATCAATGCCATTACATGAAATTTAAAGCAAACATGTGTTTTTGTATTTATGTCCGTGGTCTGAGCAGCATTCTCGAGGTCGGCGTTACGTCACGAATCATGTGACCTGCGTAGCAACCAACCGCCGCCATGTTTGAAGGGTAAAACAAACCGAAGGCGAATCCAAAAGGTATCTATTTACATATGTTTTGCCGTGGATTATGTCAGTTATGGATACTAACGGACAACTTTGAATTATTGATGAATGATATCTGTGTATGCGAATGTATGTTGGTGGTGTAAACATTCAGGGCTTGCTTAGCTGGAGGCAGGAATCTAAATTCCTATCTATTTCCATTGTAGCTGTTGTCATAGTAACAATAAAGAAATGTCTAACTGTTGTTGGAAATATCAGATAAACCTTATTTTATTAACGCAAATGTCATTCCTCTTGTTCTTGCACCTTAAGCCACAACAGGACCACCTTTTTCAGTTGTAGTTTTACACTTATAATCGCCAGTTTTAGTTTACATTCACTCCATACATGTGAGATTAAACACTCATGTAAAGCGCTTTGTGACTAGCTACATGTCTGTGAAAGGCACTATATGAATACAGATCTTCTTCTATTGCAGCATGTCATATCAGTATATTGACAGTCTCCTAGCGCCTGCATTGACCAGGTACCACTAGCCTGGTTTTACCATACCCTCGTACTTGTTTCGTACAGAGGGTACATCCCGGGAAAAAAAGATTTGACCGGAGTTTACGGATGGCAAAGGCCAGGCTAAGGTACCACAGAAAGCTGTCGCTTGTAGGTTTACAATCTTGTCCCTATTGGCATCCAGCAGAGTCCTGGGAAAACAACCCAAAGGCATGGCCCAGGCTCGAGTATCCAGACATATACAATTACCTCATCAAGTCCCCTGGTATGAACACCATGTGTACATACCATGTGTCCTACACTTGTAGTAATATTTAAATACCCATCAAGCATCGATAACATTAACTATGTTATGACATTCAAAAGCATTCTGTTACAATGTGGCTGTAATGAGCTCAGTCTGTCAGTGGCACAGCTTGTACAGTGTAAGTGAGGGACACAGTTTTTTTCAAAAGCCAAAAAAGGCTAACTGCAGAAATTCCACTTATTCCCCACACAACTAGTGCATTTCATTGTTGCTTATCGGTGTAGAGCTGCCGACCATTATGCATAGCGATGTCATAACATAGCAACAGAAAACAGTGGCATGGCATTGGTATTATTTTGTTATTCTTTGATTTGCCCCTCAATGTGTCCATTCATTTGAGATTACATTTCTATTTAAATTTTAAAGTAAAATGGCATACCCTATTCACACTTTTTATGACCGGTTATTTTTTGCAATAACCAGTCATCAGATTACATTTTATTATATTATATATGTAGTGTCTAACGACAACAGCAAGACTTTAACATTTCTAATGAGAAATAGTTTATTAGACATTGTATAAGTAGAAATACTAAAAGACGTGAAGATTGACATGAAAACATTTGTATCATTTACTTGCAATTTGTCAGTGTTTTTGCTCTGGTCAATTGTCACTCTCCTAGATGTGATATGTTAATGTATAAAAATAAAATTATTTCCCTTTCTTCATTTTCTTTTGTTTCAGGTGTATTTAGTATTATGATGGTGGAGACCGAATCATTGCTGATTTTGTCAATGCCTAATTCCGTCTGCTGCAGGTCTTGCATTTCCATGCAGGGTGTTGACACTTCTTGTTGCAACTCTTCTGGGACACTTGTCTCCTCAAATTCCAGTTGCTTCTTCACCTTCCTTTCCTTTCGTGATACTAGAGTAGTGGATGGTGCTGAAAAAAATAGATAAAAGGTATATATTTTGCAAATGATCACAGAAATTTTAAGTCATGGCCTCATATTTATAATAATAATAATAATGCATCAGTTTTATGTAGTGCTTTTCTGGACACTCAAAGACGCTTAACATTGCACTATTCATTCACTCCATACTTGGTGGTGGTAAGCAACTATTATAGCCACAGCTGCCCTGGGGTAGACTGACTGAAGCGAGGCGACCAGTCTGCGCCATCGGCCCCTCCGACCACCACCAACCACTCACTCACTCGGCTTCCTGGTGTTACTAAACGGCAGTATATTTAGTATTGAGTTGGATTGGGACGATAAGTCATAATAGTCGACTATGACTAGAAAGCAGCGACCAGTAGACTAGTTTTGTACTATAAATACCATCTTACCAAGAATTTCCAGGCTAGGCATTATGTACAAAAATCTGCATGACTAGTTACTTTGTAGATGCAATGACTTTTTCATACAGGAGGTAATTTTGTTTTCAAGGAAAATACATTTGTTAGCAAAATCTGTATTTTTACACAGATTACCATTTTTGTAGCAGTTAACCTCCCAAGTACTACTTTTTCAAATTGGTCATTAGAAATCAACATGTATTTTTTATTTATGTATTTCATATGGGGGACAACATTCTATTTCACAAGGTGCTTGTATCAATTGTTGTACACAACCTCATTGCAATATGGAATCTTTTAATTCTTAACTGTGCATTGGAAATGCAGCTCATTATCTGCAGGTACGGTTTTACTGCAGTGTAAAATAAGAGCAATAAACACAATTTGCTACTATATATATGTCTGCATAAACAAAATCGACTGCAATTTGTTAGTTTTAAATTTCAAGTGTTGTGTCAAACAAATTCAGATAATTTTTGGTCATTGATCTAGGAGCAAACTAGATGCATGTTGATCACACTACAGTTTGATGGTTTTTTTTTCTGTTAACGATAGGGTACTGTGGGTAGCAAACTTACCTTTTCTTTTCTGTGCTCTCTTGAAGCGATCAAGTGTGGTACTCTTAGTCAATTCCTTCAGCACTGCTTGCGGGAAAATGGACGGAGTGTAATCTGGGTGTGCGGGGTTGTTGTTCTTTCTTTCCTGTTCAAGGAGCAAAGTGACAAAATCTAAAGATTCCCACTGAGTAGCTCCAAGCCAGCTGGAGCCATTTCTCTCTCCTTTCTGGCTCAGTTGCCTCGCTAGGGATCATGTAAAAGGATAGGTCACTCCTTTTTACGCTGTTGTTGGTACAACCAACAATACAACAGTTTTTCGGCATGTTTTGTAACGCTCGTTTGTCTTTCGCTTCGTGTTGCTTAATGGCGGGCGCTGGTTTGTTTTACCCTTCGCCGCGTTGCTATGCGCGCGCAGTGCATTATGGGAGTCCAAGTTCCCGGATGTCCGACCTCGAGAATGGCATGTCAAGAACTTTAAGAGGGTGAATAATCATGAAACTGTACATAGAGAAGAATTGAGGCTTCAAGTACATTGAGCACATTTTACGTAATGAGTGAAAAGAGTGTTTTGTTGTGATTGTGGAAGAATAAAAAGTGAAATACAGTATTTCCATGGATCTATTATTTCACAGTTTTGTTGTGAAATATTTATCCGGAAGTTTGTGGTGGCTACTTCCTGTGCACGTTCCCGTTCGCGGCTTCGCTCTCTCGAAGCTAAAGCTAGCTTCAGGATGCCGTCTATTGAATACGACGAGTGAGTATTTCTAATCATAATCCTGTCATTTACCGTGGCCTGTCCTCATCGTCTGATCCATATGTCCCTGTGCCCTCAGCTCCAAGCCCAGCTGGGCGGACCAGGTGGAGGAGGAGGGCGACGAAGGTACAGTTAGCCGCTGTTAGCACGTCCACAGGCCCCGGTGTTCTTGTCATCTATTCCACGTGTCTGTTTAGTGCCTCCTTATTGTTGATTTTGTTATTGATAGTTTCGCTATTCAGGCTAAAATCATTATGTAAACAGTATTTCTCAGATTAAAAAAGTGTGGAGAGAGATAAATGATCTAGGCGTTTTCTCGTTGGGTTGATGTATGGCTAACGTGCATTAAATGTAGGCTTGTCCCATTATTCAGAAAAAAACATGTTGAATTTTTTAGAAAAAGTTTTAACCGCAGTTTAACAGTGCCTATGATTGCGTTTGTTTACATCGCTGTTTTATGCGTGATCTTTTGCGACAGGTACACTCCCATCACCAAAGGAAACCATTAAAGGAAATGTGAAAACAGTGACTGAATATAAAATAGAAGATGGAAAGAAGTTCAAGGTGGGTTTTGAGCAGTATTACTTCTGCAGATACTATATATAATGTATTTATTATTTTGTATCTTTTGTATTATTTAGTAGTTAATGACAGGGTATTATTTTGTATTACCCTGTCATTAACTACTATCACATTTATCTATGTGACTCTTTCTTCAATAGATTGTGCGGACTTTCAAAATTGAGAACAGAAAAGCTTCAAAAGCAGTCGCCAGAAGAAAGGTAGTATTCAATGTGTTTTATTATACGTAATAAAATTACGTATAATAAGAGAGGATATGGAGTTGGTGTAAATATTTAATACAAAATAAAGTTTGATTATAGTAAAATATCTTTTTTAGAACTGGAAGAAATTTGGCAACTCGGAGTTTGATGCTCCAGGCCCAAACGTTGCCACGACCACAGTCAGCGATGATGTTTTTATGACTTTTGTTTCCAACAAAGAGGTAAGGGAACCAAATTTTATACTTTAAAAGCTAAAGTTTTGATATCTGTCACATGAGTTGTGTGTTGCAGGATTTGAATTCCCAAGACCAAGATGAAGATCCCATGAACAAACTGAAGGGACAGAAGATTGTGTCTTGTCGAATCTGTAAAGGCGACCACTGGACCACACGCTGCCCTTACAAGGACACTCTTGGGCCCATGCAGAAGGAGCTGGCAGAGCAGCTTGGACTCACTACTGGGGACAAGGAAAAGCCTGCTGGCTCTTGTATGGATATCTTTAGAAGCTTTTGAACACTATGGCTTGGCACCTTTTTTTTATTTTATTCTTAATTTGTTTTAGCTGAACCAGAGCCTGCAACGCCTTCTCAAAGCAAGACCGGTAAATATGTTCCTCCCAGTCTGAGGGACGGAGGAACCAGGAGAGGAGAGTCCATGCAGCCAAACCGCAGAGGTGGGTTTTCCCTCACAGCATGAGCTGAAAAGCCTGTGCATAGTTTTCACACTTATGTCCTTTTTGACTTTGCAGCTGATGATAATGCTACAATCCGTGTGACCAATTTGTCTGAGGACACCCGTGAGACAGATTTGCAGGAGCTGTTTAGACCCTTTGGCTCCATCTCCAGGATCTATCTGGCCAAGGACAAGAACACCGGGCAGTCCAAGGTGTGGCAACACGTTCACTTGATCAATGCTTGTAATAGCTGTTTGTTCTGATTTATTTTGTCCGGTTCCACAGGGATTCGCATTCATCAGTTTTCACCGCAGAGAGGATGCTTCCAGAGCAATTGCAGGAGTGTCAGGATTTGGATATGACCATCTTATTCTCAATGTTGAATGGGCCAAGTGAGTTCATCTTTAATATCAAAATGTGCAACTTTTACTTTATACTGTCACTGACAGTCTCATTCTGTTACAGACCGTCAAACAACTAAAAGACGTTGGATCATTCTAGGATACATTTTAATTTGGGTATTTCTCATGCTCCAGGAAAATAAAATGGTTTGAAATGCATATTGTACAAGCTCAGACCAAAACTTGTGACTAAATGTTTTTACCCATTCAAAATGTTATTTCATGTATGAGTATGAAATAGCTTCAGTAAAATGTTGAAATGAGTCATGGGTAAATGCTATCACCAGATGGAGGTGTAAGGTTTGTTGCATACAGAGTGAAATTACGACTACTTAAAAGGCAAACTGCTGAGGTCATTGTGGTACAATTACATTTAGACTGAATTAAATGTTTGAAGCTTGACAATAGTTCTAAACTAGGTATGAGTAATTTTGTGAGATGACTGGCTTATTTGCATTAACTGCTTTAGGACTAAGTCGAATGGAAGCTCCTTAAGTTCAACTTGCAAAATATCTCTAGGTGTAAAGTTTGCTTCTGTACCAGGTCTCAGGAGAAGGTCCTAGATTCTGGATCATGTAGCAATTCTGTTACTACCTCATGGTAAACACTTCCAGTATGTAAACCCTGTAGGTAGTATTAATGTATTAAGCATGCCCAGGACAAGTCCTTTGGGGAGAAGAAAGTCAGCTCACTGACAATGACTAACAAGTAGCTTCAAATTAAAATACCTTTGATTAAAGGGGTTTAAGTTCCATCTACAAAGCTGCCATTCTGTAGTCTGCAGCCAATAGTATAAAAAAGCTAAAAATTCCTAATGAACAATTGAGTTTAAAAATGTATACAAAATAAGCAGTCAATAGGATTGGAAATAAAATGTACACTTTGTCAATGTAAATTAACTTCAAACGCTAGAGCCGAAAGACTTAACTAAATGGACTAACACTGGACAAAAACGTTTTTTAGAAACAAATTCCATAAGAGCTTTAATTGAATGTTACACGTAAAAACTACATACAATAGAAATTCATTCCACAATAAGCGAACAATTCAACACATGATTTAAAAGCACATTTAAAACACTGGAATGATGCGGCACATATGACAACGTTTTAAAACAATGGCAGCAATAACATTGATCTAATTCAGTCCTTCATATGGGACTATTCAGAAACTTCCATTTTCTCTTGTTTAACGTTTTCTGTGAAGAGCAAAAACATGTTTAAGGACAAGTTGATAAGGGTTAATATTTGAAGAGTCCAAACTTAGACTTTACCTGATCCTTGTTCCTCCTTCAGTCTCTCCAGAATGCACTTTTTGATCTCCAAACCAATTGCTTTGCTTAGAGGCGGAGGCACTGCATTTCCAACCTGTGGCAAGAGATAGTTTTGGACCGACTCCAGATACAATTTATATCACATTTCTGAACCAGTACCTGTCTGTGCTTGTCCAGGACATTCCCAAAGAAACGGTAGGTGTCTGGAAACCCTTGAGAGCGGGCACACTCCCTCACACTGACCACTCTGTGCTGCTCCGGGTGCAACACACGGCCCTATGAGTCACAACAGAACATTACAATATCTGGGCAAGTTTTGGATTTTATAGAATATGGGGAATTTATTAGATTTCAGTATTTTAAAAGGTTAGCATTCAAGTATGATCTCAGTTAATGTAGCCAGTAAAAAAATAAACTACTGCAGCTGGGATTTTTCCTGCCTGGTAAAGATTTCTAAGGAAAAGTTTCCAATGACAATGAGATTATCACGTTCAAGGCATCACTGCCAATGTGTCTAAGAAAGAGTGTCAATAAAAGTTCCAATTGTAAAGCATAACTGTCGCCATCTCACAAATGTAAAGCTCTTAAACTTTAATGATTGGGGGCCCTTTGGGGGTACCCTATGAAAGCGACTCAAATAGCAGCATGTCAATATTTCCTAATTGTGAACGGTACACAGGCTGTTGCCATACCTGCTTGCCCATGGGCTCAGGGTTGGTCACTGTGGTGCTGAAGAAGCCGTCCCACTCCAGGCGCCCATACAGTCCGGCCCAATGGTTGTGGCGGTTGCCAGTGTGAGGCAGACACCAGGGGATCAGAGTGTTGAACTGCCGGTCAGCAGCATCACACGGCTTCCCTGAGGGGCGCGCGCACACACACACACATTTATTGAATAGGCAATAACTACAAATTACAACCATTAGAGAAAGGTTTCCCATCAAAAAATCTGCCGATTTTAAGATTAATAAGATGAACTCTACAACCTGAACACAATCTATTCCATAGAGTTGCATTGACAACACAAATCAGAGACATCTTTGAAAGAAATTAAGAAAATGTCAATGCTGCTTTAGATCATTGGAGAGTGATTCAGACATGAGAAAAAGGTCCATTTGAAAGTCCTTTGTACGGTTATTATGAATTTTAAAAAAAACTTTATTTCACCACTTCATTTGGCAGGCCTAAATAGAGCATATCCTAAGAGCAAAACTCATTCCAGTGTCTGGCTGAAGTTGAACCTGAGCCTGTACCTGTAGCACACGTGCAGACACCCCTCAGAGCCCCGGTGCTGCTGCGGCCGTTCTTCTTGTCGGGGTGAGAATAGCGGAGCTTCCTGGTCATGGTGCCGTCCTTCAGTCGCACCTCCAGGTTGGGCAGGTCCCTCCAGTCAGAGCCGGGGGCCAGAGGAATGTGCCGCATTCGACCCTCCACCAGAGCGCTCATGTCCTAAGAACAAAAAGCCAAAATGTCAGATATGTTATAAATAAAACTGTATACATTTAAATACAGTATACACAATTTTGTGCCAATCCACTTAGATAATGTGCTGCATTATATTTTAATTCATGTCAGACTACCTTTAGGAGTAATTTGAACATTTAAAAAAATCCCCCATAAAGCACCATTCCAGTTTTTATACAAATATCCCTCATGTCATGTAAATAAAACTTTCCCCGTTATAAAACCTATATATTCCTGATTTGAAGTAAACACCTTGCAGATGTGGTCTCTGAGGATGGGCTGATACTGTGTGCCTCGGATCTGCCTCTGGAACCAGGACTGTGGTTCTCCGTTGTATGAGATCTCCAGCGCCGCTGCACCGTTTCTGATCTCTGGCAGATCTGACATGGCATCTCTCACAGTGATGGTCCGGTAGATTCCACCGTTACCTCTGGGAAAAGAGGCAAAGTAATATGAGAAATCTAAATCGGAGTACTCGTCAGTGGCTCTGAATTTAACATTCTGCACAAATGGCTGACATTTAATTCTAAAATTTGAAAGGACACGTTTCAAGATTTCTGCAAACCAGGCAATTTTGTGTACAAAAGCCAATGTATTTAAAGTGATAGTCTAACTCTAAATGAATTACAAATGTTAAGAATTGTATTAAATTTACCTCCTGGCTTTAAATGTTGATATAAAATAAGTCATTTTATTTATTCTAATATTACGGGTAAGTCCCGCCTTCCCTTCTCTTAGCTATAGCTCAGAATGCCGTCCAGTTTAACCAATCAAGTGATGCCAAGGGCTGTCAATCATCTGCGCTGATGCTCGTAGCTGCTCATGCTCAGTTTGTTTTTGCAGAACCTTCCAATCAAGCCTCCATTAGGCTCTGGAACTACATGAAAACTGAACAAAGAATTCTGAACATCTGCACTGAGTTACCCATTTATATACTGAACCTATATCCTTAATCAGATCCTCTGCAGATGTGTCCTATAATGTGCAATTAATGATAATAGCCACTTCCGGGTTTGACGCGATCGCTTTTTTGTGCATTATAACACTTTTTCCATGAAAACGTTAAATAATAATAATAATAAAAAAATAGACAGTAGCTTAGTTGGTAGAGCATTGGCCTTAAGGCCTGAAGGTCGTGGGTTCAATTCCCACCTCTACACCTTCTCCACCGACTCCCACTGATGACTGCTGTCGTTGTGTCCTTGGGCAAGACACTTAACCCCACTTTGCCCAAAGCCCCCACTGAAAGATCAAGGCTATGCTCACACTCAGAGAGCAGCCGTCCTCCTGTGGACTCACCACCTGCAGAGGGTCAGTGAGGGACTGGTGCTATGAGACTTGGGTGGCATCTCTGATTGCCACCCCCCTGACCCAGAAATGGATTAAAGGGTAGAAAATGGATGGATGGACGTTAAATAATTCTGAAAACCTCCTTGCATGTGTATTAATAATGTATATGTATAATGTGTTCTCCCGTTAACATTTAAAGGTGTTACGGAAACGTAGGTGTAGACCAATCAGAAAGGAAGGGGGAGGGAGCTTGCGTCGCTTTTTCAAATCAAGTACCCCTCTTTTTCTGACAAACTGCAGACAATCACTTTTAAGCTCCATTTACCTTGTGGCGTTGCTGAAATATTTCTTCTCGTCCACGACCACATTGAGGGAGCAGGCTCTGGGGGCAAACACGTGCAGAGGCTCTGGGTAACGCGGCAACTTCTCTCCCGGAGCAGCGGCTAAAATAATTGCTCTCCTACGAGTCTGGGACACACCATACTGTCCAGCCTGTGCACAAGAAACAATTAAAATACTTTCAATAGTCGGAGAATTTGAATAATAAATGACAAACCTGGAGAACCCCAAAAGTGCACTGATATCCCATTCGTACTAGACACCGCAGTGTCAACTTCAGCACCATGGAGCTTTTGAAGGAAACAAAGTTCCTCACGTTCTCAAGTAAGAAAAACCTCGGCCTGTAGTAGTCACAGTAACTGCAAAACAAGAACATTGTACATTTATGATTACAGCTTTATAAGAGACAAAACTAATCCAGTAGCGAGTCTTGTGGAGTTTCATAAAATTCAATCGTGAACATTGCAATTGATACCTCAAGTAGGAGACGACCAAGGAGTTCTTGAATTTGGAGTAGGTGCGAGAGTTGAAGCGGTTCATGCCGCTGAAGCCTTGGCATGGGGGTCCTCCACAGAGCATCTCCACATCCCCCTTCTGCGGCAGCCGCTGGCCTAAAGAGTTAGTCTTCTCTCCAGACATGACCAGCTTCAGCAAAACATTACAATCCTCAGTGAACACTGTGGTGCCGGGGTTATTGAGCCTGAAGGCCTGAGCTGCAGGCTCCCACATCTCTATGGCCCAGTTGGTCTCGGAGATACCTGCGGAGGAAAGTCATATTTAAACAAGATTCTTTTCATATCTCTGCATATAAAGTTCATTAGTCTTTGCCTTTCACCGTCACCACTGAGTGTAATAGTTCAATCACCTGCTTGATGGAAGCCTTCCGATAAGCCTCCACAGCCAGAAAACACGTCCAACGTACGATATTTGGGCAGTTTGACTTCCTGTGGTCCAGTCTGAGACTCTGGTGTCTCCTGTGCTGCAGCCCCCTTTCCTTTGCCTTTTCCTGAACAGGACAAAATGTTACATGTCCATTATTTGCCAAACCTTATCCCGCTTTAAAACTACGTACCTTTCCCTTTGCCCTTTCCTTTTCCCTTGTTAACAGCAGAGCGAGCGTGATTTGGTGGATCTTCATAGCTTTTAGTCTTTGCATTATAGGCCTGAAAAATAAAGTTGTGCCTTACCAACATATTCTCTTGTGTACATTGGTTAAAAACCATTTGTGGAGGATACCTCAAGAAAGTAGAAACGGTCAGGTCCTCCGCTGGAGTACTCCTGGACAGACTCTGTGAGGTCTTCTCCATATTCGACCTGACAGCGGCCGAGGACCTCTGACATGTTCACGGTCACCTCCTCATCGCTCCAATAGAGCTGATTAATGTCTGTGTGGTAACTGCCCTTCACCCCTTTGTGCGTGTTCTCAGGCCTGGACAGAAGGAGTTAGTCATCAGTGCCAAGTGAGCCTCGTTTAAGACATTTAGTATTAGTAAAGTCATATTTCCCATCTCTAGTATTTCTATAATTTAGGGTATAATTTCACCAATACATTTTTTGAAAGGTCACCCAACCCAAAATCTTCCCTCCCCAGCCCAGACTCGTGGAGTGCACACCCTCCTCCGTCGCATGGCCTCTTAGACCTCCCTTGACAGGAGGGTCTAAGAACTGTCGTTGAAGGTCGAGAGTCCTGGATCATCACCACTTCAAGATTTATTTAAGAATTTATTACGGACTAATGCCTATGTGTTTATCATTGCATTTTTGTTTTTGAACCGTGTGATTCTCTGAACTGTGTTGGTGGAGTGACTTTTGTGAAGAATTTAATTTGGATTTATGTGCAGTTACCTGTAGAGTTTGTAAAGCCGAAGTTTGACCTCTGTCGAGTCCGGTTTTCCGTTGCTGCGTCTATGACAAAATATCTCCTTAATGCGGCCGACGCGGAAAGGCGCCGGGGCATCCTGGTTTGAACCCTTGATGTAATCTGAAGACTTCCTGTAATATTCCGGATACAAGTCTTCATCCACATCCTCTTTCCTGTGAGAGCGCTTCACTGGACTGGCTGGTTTTACACTACAAGTAAAAACAAAGACTGAGTTAGCTGTACTCGTTACAAAGATGGTGGGTTCTCCATTTCCACCTAGTCTTTTTGATTGTCCTACCTGAAGTGAAAAGTGTCTGGTGGTAGGTAAACACCATTTCCCACTTTGAACTGTTCTCCTTTGAAACAAGCCAAAGCATAGAAGGCTTTCGAGTCGTCGTCTTCATTGTCCAAAGGTTCAAACACTCGAGGGGTCGCCTGCTCCTCCTTTTCTGAGTTTCTGACACAGCTGTTGCAGAACCTGCCACAAAGTATGATCATGTTAGAAAAGGGTACAAAGAAAAATCTGCTTACAACTCAAGTCATTCTTACTTTAACTTTGAGTCATCTGGTTGAACAGTTTTAGGAGGAGTTTCAAAACGGGCAAATTCAGTGTCGTACCAAAACTGATAAAAGAAACTCTTGCCGTCATCGTCAATGACCTTGATCTCGTCATCCATCCCACCCTGGAATTGGCACAAAACCATTTCAAGTTTCACAATGACTTTCACCATGACAATAATTAAAGCAGTTCTCAACCAATTGGATGTGAGGAATGGCAACTGTTACACGTTTCACTGGACAGTCTGATCTAGAAGAACTAGTTACATTTTATGGCATAGTTAATGTGATTTCAAAGTAAGGTACTCTAGCTTTAATTTACTCAATTGTCTCAAGCTAACCTGAAATAACCTTTTCCTCTTCTGGATTAAAATCTACAAATCATGTTTTACCCTTCATATCCACTTTACACAAACTCAACTTCTGTCAAGACTGATCCATGTGTTGAAAAAGTTCCAATGCCCACCCCTTGATAACAGTGAGGCAAAGTTTACCTCCATAAACCAGTTCTCAGACGGAGCTTTGTACATAACGTTGACTTTGCCTTGGATGTAACTGAGCTGCATGTCTTCACACTCGTCCACAAGCACGAGCTCCAGGGGGTCCGAGGACTCCCCCAGCACGGTGTTGGTCCCTCGATGGAACCAGTGGGCGTGGAACATCTTCTCACCGCTGGCCTCCCAAAGTGAAGTGATCCTAAAAAAAAGTTTAACCATTTTTACATTTGTGACCATTTATTTCAAATGCATAATGTCCTCCTTGGATAGTACTCTGACATATGGGTTAGACTCGTTTGCGTTAAATTAGTTGCTCCACAAACATGTAATGTATTAAAATCTCGAGCGCCGACAATCAATGAAAATGGCGTTGTGATACATAATTGGAGAATACAACAACTTTGGCATAAGTTTTGAACTGGTTCTGCATTTTGGTACCTTTTATGATAGCCTTTTGATTAGAAATACAACACTTTATACTATTGCTAATCTCACCTGGCAAGATACTGAGGAGTAGACGGATCCTCAGACAGAACTGAAACGCAGTCTCCAACCTCCAGCTCCTCATCGTTCACACAGACTTTCCTGTAATACTGCTTTTTACCTTCCTAAAGTGGAAAATTGCAGTACAGGTTTAGAAACTTTGAGGAAGGAACCAAGAATTATCTCCCCTTATCCCAATAGAGTCATTGTTAAAGTACAAACCTTAACAGGCTCTCCGATCCACGAGAGCTTGGACTGGCTCTGCTTCTTCCTCTTTGTTGTGGAAGGCTTTTTAGGCTTCTCTACAGGCACGTCCTCCTCTTCAATGTTTTCATCATCCTCAGCTTCTTTGACGGCAAGGTTAGGGCACCTGAAGCAGATTAGAATCCATTCAATGTAGATTCATTTTTTTATAAGTACATTCTTCAACACTGAGAGTAACAAGGAACAAAGATACCTTCTTTTCTTACACGCCTGCTTACTCTTTCCACTTCCCCCAAATTTAATCATGTCCTTACAGGCGCTACATTTGCCACAATCAGCAGACTGGCAAACCTGAAAAAAGATAGGTTTTTAAATCCCTGCTAAATGAGGACAGTGCATTATGAACTTTAAACTACAAACCTCACAAACACCACAGCGCTGGCGTTTCAGCGGACCGTTCTCTTTGTCATTTTGGTCGATCTGGTCAGAGAAGAATGTGTCGAAGATCTGGTACACGAGCTTGGTGGTGGTGGCCCTCGTCGGGCCCTTGTCCTTTTCGATCTTTGTGGGATGTCGAATAGCTTGTCTGCGCGCTGCCCTCCTGTTTAAACAGCAAAATGTTATTTGTTCACCTGCTCAATGTGTCCAACAAAAACTGCCATGCAAACACAAACAAGCACTGGACCAAAGTGAAGAAATTATAAAATGTGCATTTGTTCAAATCAAATGATTTTGCATGAGTTATTGCACCATGGGAAAGTAGAGGTTTTAGTTTTACGAGTGTAAACTTTTTGATTATGTTCATCAAGTCTTAAAGATGCAGGCTAGAGCTATCCTGGCCTTAGCCATCTGTAAACTCCGGTCAATTAGGCTAGTATAGACCAGCTTGTCAATGAGAATGTTCTCAGTCGACCACAATCAGTTAAATATTGAATAATACAAAATTAGGTATAGGCACAAATTAAATACAGAAAAGTTTTAAATAAGCAGAGATTGAAAGGTTGGAGATTAATGTAAATAAAAAAAATTGTTTCACTCCAGTCTTGTCTTTTGACAATGTGCTTCAGGTCACGTGTTTATGTCACAAAATCCGTGACGCCCAGAGAGGATTCCCATTTGTTTGTTTTGGTAGGGAAATATGCAAATCAAACTGGAAAGTCGACAAACTCAGCCAAAACAGTAAGGAGACTTTGCAACATCATCTAAACAAATATTACTAAAATCTGTCAATTGGCCCCTTGACTGAAAACAGATTAAAGCTGTGAAAAGCCCTTGAGCACAAGCGTCTTACCAGGGAATAGATGTGCCGAAGAAACATGTGGGAAGAAAACCTGAAGTCTGCAGCGCCCGGCCTTTGTTCTGGCAACTAATAAATATCTTGTGTGCGGCGCACGTCTTTGCAAAGTTGCAGCTAATCATATAATATGACCCAACGTTTCCAAAAATCATTCTTCTGTCCAGGCAAAAGCAAAACTTCAGCACGGTATTTGAAACCTCTCCATAAACTGCAGCCGCATGAAAGCGAAAGTGAAACCTAACTCGTTGGCCCACGTGACCAGAAACACTGCGTTCAGTTACACAGGCTGCATTACAAAATAAGACTAATGTTCATCATTTTCTTGGAACATTACTGTACTAAATTTACATTTCACAGGACAGACAAGTAAAGTCTTAGTCAGAATGCAAATATTTCAATTTTTTTGTCTCAATTTTTTAAAAATAAAATACAATTCTTAAAACTTCCATTAAAAAGGAAAGATTTAAGAATTGGATTTTATTTAAATAAACATTGCCTATTCAAAAAAAAGGCAAAATGTAACTAGGAACCACAATGAGAAACTGCAGTCAATCTTCAACCACTGCAACCGCTGGCATCAAGAGCGCTTCACTCAGCCCATACATCCATGTACATAAAACAAGACAAATATTGACCATTAAAAAAAGATCGTGGCTGGGTACACCAGACAGTGTACCAAGTCACTGGACAATTTCCAAGTTTAAAAAGGAGCCATATGTAAGATTTGCATGTCAAGTCATTACATTTCCCTAATATGTCAGGACAATAAATAATGGTATTTTTGAAATCTACTTCTGATTACAGTAGTTGAGCCGGTATATGCGAATGGACTTCTAGCATCCTAATGTGACTAAAGATGGAAATCAATGTTGAACATGTCACAATTCCCCAAATCCTCCATACGGTTTTTGAGTCACAATTTTTTTATTTTTTGTACAGCACACTGTTGCATGGCTAAAGTACGCTAAAAGAACCCAGAGTTTTCCAACACCGAATAAAATAGCAGTTTCATTTTAAAGCAGGTATATGTTTGTAGCCACCAAACAACTTTAGCAAACGGCATGACACATTTTTGTCGCTGCGCATGATGCAAGCTACACAACTTGATTTTGACTGACGTGGCTGTACTCTTGTAATGTCTGGGACAAATTTACATATACATTAAACACACACACACCAATATATATATATATATATATATATATATATATATATATATATATATATATATATATATATATATATATATATATATATATATATATATATATATATATATATATATATATATATATATATATATATATATATATATATATATACACCCACCAACAATTTAACAATCAGTCCTATTGAATCCAATCAAATGTAACAACTATTAAAAGGGCTATAAATTTGCTCCATTTAAAACTAAGATAATGTTAAGGAAATCATCTAGGGAGGTCTGGACCCTCACTTTGGGAACCACTGGTCTACAGAACATGAGACTCCAAGAACAAACAAGAGAAACCTTCCCTGTAGGACTTTCCATCAGTTGCCAGATATGGCGCCAAATCCAGCTCCAAGCCAGGGAGAGGGGGAGGAGACTACAGAATTTTCAGTGATTGCAGTACCACTTCTTTTCACATATGTCTCCTTAAAGTTAAGCAAGCATCTTAAACATGTTTGATCTGAAGTCAAGACGCACATTGCATGATTACAGATGTGAAAGTTATAGCGGTTAAATGAAGAGACATGCTTCACACACAAAATACAAGCTTTTGTTGCTAGTCTGACCTACCAGTACAGCAGCATGCTGCATACAGAATGTTAGAGAAAGAGAACAAGTTTACTTGAGAACTTAGTTTTATGATATTTCAAATGTCAGAATTGGGACCCACCTTTTCCCCAGAGTGACTCCAGCGAGTTTGATAAGGTCTCTCATGCAGGGAGTGACGATGATTGGCTGTTCATCCGAGTCTCCAGCCTCATCGTAGCTTTCCACCTGCTCCACTACAAACTGAGCGTGTCTCAGCAGCGTGTCTTCCGTGAAGCAGTTAAAGTTCAATCCTGCAGGGGGCACCGTTGTCTGTAGGCAAATGTAAATGTAGAATGAACTGAGTAGTCAAATCTCTCGGGCTCTGGCTCAAACGCACCTCGATCTTGTTCAGGAGATCTTCATAAGACACATCAGGGTTTTTCTGCAGGAACTCTACAACGATCTTACTCATGTAGATTTTCTCTTGCATTAGAGCAAAGATGGGGCTGTACTCCTCACTGGGATGCATTAGAATATAATCCGCGAACGCTGAATATCAAACAAGAAAAGTTATTGAGCGAAGAACACATTTCAGAAGGAGGTAATATATAGAATACCTGTAGTGAAACCAATAAGTGCTTTTTCCCCTCCATCAAAGCCAGTGATCCACCAGGAATTGATCGGCCCAAGTTTTTTAGCAGGAACACCACCTGAAGAGGCATAATTTTAAATACGCTGGAATTTTCATGCAAATCATTATTTAGGTCTCGAGTTTTCTAACCATCCATGCATGGATTGTCATCATAGATTGGTTTGACAACACAGCTGAAGTAGAGCTCAACATTCTTTTCAATTAAACCAGCATCAAAAGGGCAGAGGTGTCCACGCTTATCGTACACACTAAAGGGAATTGGTGAACAGAAAAATCAGTATTTCAGTCTCATCACAGGGACATGTTAAGAAACAAACCTGAAATTTGTAATTTTGTGCTGTGGCAGATCCTCATAACTTTCAAAACCGTCTTCATTTGAGTCAAACAGGGAAAGTCTCTCATCTGTCAACATTTCTGGTTCATCCAGCTAAAATGAAAATGTTTTATGTATTAAAACAATTGTTATAACGAATATACAAATTAAAATACTTACAGCATTGTCTGGATCCCCTTGGAAAAATTTAAGATCAGGGTCATCGAGGTATTGGCGGCAGTCTGTGCACTTTGGTGGTGGTGTCTGGAGAGGAAAAAAAAGTGAAACATTTATTCTCCTTACCTTCATATTATGAACCAATTAAACACATTACCTTTGCAGTAACAGTTTTTGAAACGGCAGGCTTTGATTCTTCAGTTGGTCTAAAGTGGCACATTTGGTCAAGTTGGATAATTATGACAAATAATGAAAGTTGATACATTTCTAGTGAATAACTTACTTCGGATCAATGTCTACTTTAAGCCTCTTTTCATCTTGAACCTAAAATGTAAAAAGCACAAAGTTACTCCCAAAGGAAAGCTTGTCAAATCGATGACATTGACACTTACCTCTTCAATGTCATCTTTCTTTTCTTCATGACCATTGACTGCTCCATCATTCAAGTCTTCAGACTTGCGTTTTTGACTGAAAAACAAAACTTCAGTCATGCCAAAACTAACGCAAAAACAAAAACACTTTTTTGTAAAGAACTTACACTTTGGAAAACATTGACATTATTGTGGGTTGTGTGCTGCCATTTCGTGTAACTCTAGAACTTGCTGGAGACTCTGCAATTTTAAGGGCAGTGATGAGAACATATTCGAGTTGGTTGGAGAAACAAAAACTAATAAATACAAACTTTTAGAGTCAGAGTTTGTCTTGCTCTTGCGTCTTCCCTTTCCTTTAACTGATCCAGGTGATTTCAGTGAATCAGATTCTTCTTCCTCCATTACTACATCACCATTGTCTTCTTTGTGAGAGCCATTGGTGAGGCCGTTAGATTTTCCGCTTTCCTCCAAACCATCAGTATGGGACCCATTTTCAAGAGAAAGCTCCTTTCCCAAGACAGCTTTTACTTTGGAGAGATATGACTCCTATGACCCATGGCAGATAGAACATCAAAAACAAATTCAGAATAGAATAGTCTCATACTCTAAAATCTGTCACCTTTGTGATTTCAGAACTTGTCATTTGTTCCTTCAAGTTCTTGAGCTTGTCCAAAATGCTGGTATTCAGAAAGTCCTGCAGCAAACTAAGCTTCTCCTTCACTTGATCCTAGGTATGGAAAATTCGTTTAAGTACAATGAAATCTAACACAATGAGATGGTCAAAAAAGTTGTAGAAATAAGCAGCCAGTAAATGGTTATCCAGTGGATCATATCGCGAATCTTTAGTAAATCAAGTTGTGAAAGTAAAGGCTAGCTGGAAAAATTCACCTCATCTGAAACTCCATCCTCATCCAGCACCTGTAGCCTGCAAACAAACCAACCAATTTATCGAAGCATTATAAATATATAACTCATGCATTTGCCATCAAATGAATTCACACTCCATGACGCTGTTCAGTGACAACAACAGTACAACTTTAGTGGCGCCAAACCCACCACGCTGTGTTTCCTTTGACAGGCTAACTACATGCTAACAGTTATAAAAGCTAACTTAAGGAGATGGGCTTATGCCAGAAGGACATCAGTCGCGGATGACAGATGAACCAACAGTGAACGGTTGTGTGCCGACTACTTTTACTGAAAGCGTTATGGGATGAAGATGCGACTCATGCATCGCTTTATTTACATTCTCAAAAGCAGCGTTACCTTTTCCTGACATCCTCTGGCAGTGACATGGAAATGCTGGCTGGCATGGCAACAGCAGCACACAGACAAAGTGCTAAAATGGCTTAAAAACGGCTAAAAACAAAGTTAAAAGCACTGCAGCGGCCTGTGGACATACAGCGCGTCTGAATGAGTCGGGGTGTCTGATACAATGGATGCTATAAACGCTCGGGCGCGGGCCGTCTTTTCCCGGGTGTTGTGGACCGTACCTTTTGAAGCTTGTGAGGGGGTGATACTTTCACATTCAACGTTTAAAACATCAACATTGTTATTATTTTAAGTCTAAACACAAAAAATAACCATAAAATATATTAGTATCAACATGGCTTTAATAATATGGCAATTAGCTTTGAAACACGGTTATTCTATATGTCCAAATCTAAAGCTGCACCCCCGTAGTCTGACACTCATGTTCGAAGCGGAAGTGGATCCAAGACTTTGCCGCGGTGACTGTTGTTTACAAATGGAATGATCTATGTCCGTGAAAATAACAACAAAACACGATACTTAACGTTACATGTATCATTTTATTTGAGTGTATCTGTAGATAGTTAGTTTCCCGTGTCCTCATGCGTAAAAAGAGTGGTAACTAAAACAACATACCATAAAAATGCACTTTAATGCCCCCAGAACTTTTTTTGTATCCACAGTCATTGATTATATTTGGTGATAATGAAAGATATTTTCACGTTTTCTGAGCTTCTGGTTATGCATTGATTATCATACAGCCATTTAGATGATATATTCTGTAAATATTTACTTGTTGAATAAGGATGCTATGATTGTTATAGAAATATTGAATATTACCATTGCACTCATTAATGGACATGTTCCTAAGCCTATGCTTTTTGTATGTATTTATCCTAGTCAAGACTGTCTTTACCGCTGAATCGTCCAAACATTTTTTTTTTTTTTTTTTTTTTGGGTGAGGTGCATTTTTTCACCACAAGAGGGCCACATTGTCCCGGGGATGTTTCGCGTAGGCTTTTCCGTTTCTGTGCAGTGTTAACAACTCTAAATTATTATTTTTCCTCAAGGATACAGAATTATCATTAATTAATCAGGCCATTTATAACTTCAACATAACACATAGCAGTCTAAATTACATGACAGTATGGTCTATTTTGATGTATAGAAAACCCACATCTTAATAGCAGATCAATAATTTAGCCTACATTTGCTTGTGCTGCCAGAGTTAAAGGTTTGTGTATGAACACGTCAAAGCATATGTCACATCCTGTGGAACTCCAGAGAGACCTGGCTGGATCCCAGCCAGCAGTGAAGCCTCCCGGGGCCGGTTCAGCCATGTTCCCACCCAGGAATCCTGGATGTCTGACAGGAAACAGACCCAACTTTCCCAAGGCTACTTGAAGGCATCCTTTCCCTTCACCCCAAGTCTCCCCCAATGCACAGCCTCTCTAGGGGACTGTCTAAATGCTTGTTTCAGACAAAGTATCTCACACATATACTGCTCTGTTACTTGTGGCTTTTCCTATTACAGATCTATCAACAGTTTAATATTTAAAAGACTATCTAGGTTAGTCAACAGTGATTAATGGTGGGATTTGCATACATGAGTATCAGGATTTCATGTTGAAGCTAGTGTTTTTCTGACTTTGTTGGAGCATGTTGGCATTAGCGTCTTGAAGACTTCTCAGATTCAGGCACAAAAGGGAGACATCTCTGGACCTGCAGCTGCCATCACACATCAAATCAATTCTCTCAGAATAAAAAATAAGTGGCATCAGGTTTAAATTTTTGTTGTTTATTTTATTGTAAAAAAGGAATGTAATTAACATAGTTCATGTACCTACATTAGTGTTTCAGATTGTACCAGTTTAACAAAGGCAGCGTGCTACTACATACAAGGCTATTGCACACAAGACATATTTTACAACACAGTCATACACACTGTAACACACAGTACAAACATTATACATTTATGGCAAAAAGTTGGACAACACAACCATAAAATAAGATTTTATGTGTTGCTGGAAAGCTAATATCTGGAGCTGCCAAAGTGCTTCTTTATCAATTTAAATTGAATTTGAAATGTTAATTAATTAAAACAATGAGTGAGCCAACAAAGAGGGCAAGTCAACCCTGAACAGCAACCGGACAGTGTTTAACGGGACTTCCTCAGGTCAAAGGAAGTGGAGTGTTATAGGCAGAGGATGGGGAGCAAGGTGACCTCCCAAACGACCACATCCCTGTCTAAAAAAACGGATCTGCTTAAATGGGGTTATGGGGTCACAGAAACATGGAAGCCTTGAGCTAGGGTGGTCAATGGAGTCACGTTAAAAGTTTCACAGTGGGAGTAAATCTACCCTGTCAAGCTCACTCTCTGCTTGTCATTGATAATTAATAATACTGTCAACAATGGAGAAACTGCTCCAAACACTTCATACATACATTCAGCCTTATGGCCCAAAAGGAAGGCAAAACCAACAAAGTACATTAAAGATGCTACACAGTTAGGGCATCAGCCCCATGGTCAGAGGTGCAGGACAGCACACTTTAAGTGAAATTTATCAGTGCCACTTATTTGAGGAAATGTACTTTCTGATAAGGCCTTCCTCAAGGAAACAGTCAAGGTACAGACTACAGTTAAAGCAACAGGGACAGTTTATATTTAAAAGGGAACGGGGTTAGTGGTGAAACTCAGCTGGAATACATTATACACTGATAGACTGATAGATAGAGTTAGAATTCATGCATTACATATATGGACAATATGTAAGTATGTTGTGGTTAATCAAATAGTTCAAGCAAAGTTATATGGGAATATATAGCCCTGGTTTGTTGAAGGGTCAGCAGGTTTTGCTTACTTTCTTTTGACCCATTATTGCATGCGATTAATGATTTTACGCTCACCAATAAAGTGGGAGTCAACTGTTTTAACCTAATTGCAATACACATTCACAAAGTGCGAATTTAGAATCTTGCAAGAACCAACTATAATAAGATGCATGTTGCAAGTGTGTTTCAGAAAATAAGATATGACACCATCCATCCATCCATTTTCTACCCTTTAATCCATTTCTGGGTCAGGGGGGTGGCAATCAGGATGCCACCCAAGTCTCATAGCACCAGCCCCTCACTGACCCTCTGCAGGTGGTGAGTCCACAGGAGGACGGCTGCTCTTTGAGTGTGAGCATAGCCTTGATCTTTCAGTGGGGGCTTTTGGGCAAAGTGGGGTTAAGTGTCTTGCCCAAGGACACAACGACAGCAGTCATCAGTGGGAGTCGATGGAGAAGGTGCAGAGGTGGGAAGATATGACACGTTTATACTAAATGGCTTTTAACTCCTTAAGTACCCAATAGAAGACTCCTTTTGCTTCCATACTTTGGATTCACTCCTTGTTTGGTATGTAGGCCGCAATCAGCCGTTTAAGGTGAACAATGTTGTTGTCCAATTGTCCTCGGGCCTTTATGCCGGTCTATCACAGAGGAGCAGCGTCTCAATGCTCATTCACCCAAAAGCACATGATGCACTGTTTTAGACACACGTGGTGCAGTCCTGCATGATGGGTGTGGTCTGGTGTTCATGTTTATTGGTGCAGTGCTCCAGAGAGCTGGAGCTCTTCAGAGGGACCAGGCAGCGGTCAGCGGGACGTCCACTTTGAAGCACCCCCCAGCAGCACAACACACGCAGGAATTCTTTCCTCATGTCTTTGCTGCGCAGAGTGTAGATGATGGGGTTAAGTGCTGAGTTTAGAGTGGCAAAGCCAAAAAACATCTCTGCTTTGTTTAGGATTGGACAGAACTGTATCCTGCAGGAGGAGTCCAGCAGGAGGATGGTGAACGTTGGCAGCCAGCACATGATGAACACTCCTAACACAATAGTCACAGTTTTCAAAAGGGAATAGGCCTGTGAGTTTGTGGCCTCTTGGTGGCTTTGTCGCACAATCAAATATATCCTTACATACAGGATCACAATTGAAAGCAGAATAATGCTCAATATAGTGACAACACAAAGAATGTATTTCTTGGAGTATAGGGGTAAAACCGCAGAGCAGTCTGGAAGATTATCAATGCAATTCCAGCCAAGGATGGGGAGTCCTCCGAGCAGAATTGAGGTGACCCAGCACGCCCCTATCAGCAAGAACATGCGGCATGTTTTATTGGAGCCATACACTTTGACTTTAGTGATGGCAATGTAGCGCTCAATGGCTATGGCCAACAGACTGAAGACTGAGGCGGCCAAAGCTATAAATGCTGTACCTTCCCGGATGAACCATTGTATAGGGAATAGGTAAAAAGTTTTGGCCCCTGACAGAAATATATTTGCTATGAAGGCAGAACCAGCCAGGAGGTCTGAGAATGCCAGGTTCCCAATGAAGAAAAACATTGCTGAGTGAAACTTCTTATTCCGACAAACCGCAATAAGCACAAGGAGATTCTCCAAAATGATAATGGTGCAAAGAATCACAATGACAATATTCAATGTGTTCAGCCCAGTATTTCTCTGTGCGTTGCGCTCTGCCACCTCCTGACTGGTCATGTTCTTGGCGTAGACATAGTAGTACTGGACCAGGCTCTTGTTGTAGTACAGCGAATACTTGCTCCTCATGGTGGTGGGGGAGAAGAGCACAGCTGCGTCTTGGTAAAGATTCATTCAATCTGGATTCATGCAGAGTGACTATGACGTGGTGTAGTGTCCTATAGAAGAGGACACGAGGAAGTTCCAGGCCATGTCCAGACTGTGTTCAGATGCTCAGTGCTGGTCACCTGCAGAGACAAAACGGGGCACCCTGTTAGTCATTTAAAACTTCACTGTGAATGCAGATAAGTCACAAAACCCCCAGAACCGTAAAGCTAGGGCAAGCCACAACACCTGTATGACTGAATGTCTGTTGTAGGTTTGTATATGTTATTATTTAAATTTTTTGTCTGCAAATTAAACTATTTTAGGTATGACATTTTGAAGCAACTGTGGTTAAAGTTCTAACTCATCATTCTAACATATAAGCCAGTACTTTTCTACTGCATGTTTTGGTTATCTCAAGGTTGAAGCTGCTGGCATGGCGGTGAAAGCTAATTGGTGGACTCCATTCCTCCGCTGTTTATTATCAGTTGCAGTCTGTAAAATCGTTGTTCATGTTCGTGTTCATGCTGTCCACCAACAACAATAAAACATGTCTTCTGTCTGAATTAAAGACACAATCCCAGACTTTGTCATCTTCTTCACTATGTAAAGAAACCTCTATTCTAACTACTTCCTTTAGCACATTAGTGACTCAAAGGGATTATTTCTTACACAATAACATCTTTTCTGTGCATTGTTTTCTGATTTGATCGTAAAATTATACATTTACAAGACTCTCTCTGTTGGGACAAACAAAGTGCAATATTAATTGAACCTGTGACCTAAGAACAGTAAATGAGTACATACAATTGTGGTAAATCTATATGCATTGCAAACATATTTACACACAAAATTACACATAAAATGAAGTTCAATCTCATGAACACAGTTTCCCTTATATCACATTGCACCACATTAACACGGTGATTACTAATACACACCAGATGGTAATTTGAATACCCCAGGGATACCTTTTGTCTCTACATTGTCACAACTGTTGCAACATTGTTAGAGCAAGGACAATTATAACCCCATGACGCCTAGACCTGTACATTCACAGCTTGAACAATGCACACAAAGATAAAGACAAAGCAAGAATCATTAGTCTTTTTTTTCCACACAGGAAGGTGGTTATCTTCAGGTAGCACAATGATGCTTTGTGCAGGAGTGCTGGCATATTACAGGCACAAAAGTCTTTACTGACAGACCGAAGGGGACATTCCTCTATCCTTGTCAACACACAGCATTGTTGCAGGGAGCCATTCCACTCCAGTGAGCTGCCTCTTGAAACTTAGCATAGTCCGTGGGTCAGACCAGGCCCTCTGCGATGACCTTCCTGTCTGACCACTTCACACAGACTCAATTAAATATAGATAGATGAACACATGCAAGAGGAAAAGGTGGGGGGCTTTCACAATGTTTCAGGACAAAGGGTAGAGTCTTTGGTCTATCAAGACAGACTTCAACCAGGCATAGGTCATTCTCAGCTTAGATTAAAAGAATGTAACTATCTGGAGATAAAAATCCTTCTCTGACAATATTAAAGGTATAGTTTATTGTCCCGGGAGAATAAAATCTTCTGCGTTTAACCCATCCTTCAATACCACTTGAGCAACCTGTGATTGGGTCCATCTCCAGATACATTCATTTGAGATTGAAAGTACACACACCCAGCCAGAAATGTCAAAAAAAATCTGTTTTTAATCCACTCCTTTTAGTGGTTGTGTGATAGATTGTCAAATGCACATGTTTTCTATTTTCAAATTCCAATGATGACAGAAACTACTCAAATGACCCTGATTAGTAGTTTCCATGCCCCAGTTCTGTGTGTATTGTCCCATTAATATCTTTGACAGCTTGTGTGGTAGTTGTGGTTCTTTATCCTCTCTGATGGTAAAGCTGCCCATTCTTCTTGGGCAAAAAGCCTCCGGTTCCTGTCAATTCCTGAGCTGTCTTTCATGACTGCACATTTGAGATCTCCCCAGAGCAACGCAATGATGTTATAATTTGAAAATAGAATAACACTTTATTCAACAATTTAAAGCCATATTGTGTCGATAAATTATAATCAAAAGGAACGGCTTTTCCATGTAAATAAAAGAAAAAGGAGGTATTACTGTACAATTAATTCTTGTTTGTGGAAGTCTGCTCATAATATTCAAATAGAGCAGTATTGACCAGATGCATCAACGTCATCCAGTCACGTGATTGTGAATGAGCTTACGGCGGAAGTATTGGAAACTAGCATTGCTGCGAGAGCAAAACGGAGCTTCCTCTCCTAAATAGAGAAGTGGCTACTTCAAGTACATGTTCGATTACGTTATAGGTGGAAGTAGGACATCAGGTCAGGGCTCACAAAGAGTGGTATTTGGAGAAGTTAAGGATTGCCTAACTGGATGTTGACCCGTCATCCAGTCAATTTTATCGATTAAATGAAATGTCTATTTTTGCCCAAATTCACCCTAAATGATCTTTATCATTATCGTTACCAATGCATCCCCTCACACTGGAGCAGATTTATATGTACATTTTGCTGGTAGCATTAGCAATAGTCCACTTTTCTGTGGCTTTTCTGTCTACAGCCAAACATGATACGTACTGACGGAGAAGGAAATAGTGAAACACGCAATTGACTTAAAAGATAAAAATTTCCAATGTTGCAGCGCACATACAGGACAGTAGTAGGTCCCAGTCCTTTTGGTTGATTGCCGCTGGCCATCGTAGTCTTCAGTCTTCATGACGAGCAGGTATCAGATAAAAAAGCGTATGTCCTTGCCTGGTAGTATAATCAACCGCACTGCAAAATGTCACAGTTGTGGCTGTAATGCGCTGAAACAGGTTGTTTTGGTCAGGTGTCCGTAGGCTCGCAGACTTCTGCCGTCTGTCATGGAGAGTGAACGTGGCCGTGACGTCACATGCAAGGGGTCAATGCATAATTAAGTTTAAACATTTTTGTTGTGAGCAAAAATATCCAGCTCCCCAATAAGGTACTAGTATCTAACTGTCTTACTTCACTTTTGTAGATTTTATTTGAATTTTATATTGTTGAATGTCTAATTGGGAATCATAGTAGCTTTCTGCTGTTAAGTCACTGCTCTGTAACAATGTGTATATTTCGCAAGTGATCGAAATAAACTTAATTCATTCAAAGTAGATTATAAAAAAAAAAGAAAACAAAGAAAACAACCTCTCTGAAATGTTGCACCGTGTTTACACTTTCAAACCATTTTCAACTTGTCTTCATACCGTAAACAATCGCAAACCATAAATACGGTGTCACATTGCAGCCGAAGGTATTTTTACGTTGAAAACCGACACCAGGGCTATATTATGTGCATCAGCTGGAAACAAAGGAAAACTTAAGGCTCTGGAAATCAAATTAAGGAGAGAGGTCGATGTCTGTAACCTGTCGGCAGTAACAGAGCGCCTCTGTTGATAAGTACGGCCAAAAGTACGGCCAAAAGTGGAGGATCTGAAGTGGAAAAAAGGGTCTGGACTTTGCATTTGTTTGCCAATGTTTGACTCAAGAGACAACGGATGGAGAAGAGTTTTATAATGCATACACTGGACTGTGGCTGTAACAATAAGCAGCTGTCGTTCTGCTGGCCAAACTCCACTATAAAAAAGGAGATATTTGTGATACAGTGAAAAGTTTCAAAGGGCAGAACGTGACTTAGTTTGATAGATTTTCCATTAACTGTATTCTCTAAAACGCCAGTTAAATCTGTTTTAGGCCAGTGAGTAGTATTAACAAGTGGCTGGAGGCTTTGTGAAGCTGAAGTCCTGTAGCTTCGGTCTTGATGATTCATTTACTTTCTGTGGGGAAAAATAAATTCCACCGAGATTTTCTATGGTAAATGTGAGTAAAAGGTGAGTAAAGGCAAGCTGGTGATAGACAGAGTTTTTAGAGAAGTTTTTTAACAATTCCCTTTTCTCAATGGAGGAAAGTTTGAAGTGATTTAGTTGACTGGCTGTAACCTCACCGACAGAACAGCCGTCCTCCTGTGGACTCACTACCTGTAGGAGGACCAGTGAGGGGCTGGTGCTTTGTGAATTGTCTCACTGACTGCAGGAGAACATGGACCGGTGGACTCACTCCTTCGCTGTATCCAGCGGATCAGTGAGTGGATGCAATGCAATTTTCTCCAGCTAAATGCGGACAAAACCGAAATGATTGTCTTTGGTCCCGAGAAACAAAGAGAGACCGTCATTTGTCACCTTCAGTCTCTCTCCCTAAGGCCTTTAAATAAGGTCAGAAATCTGGGAGTAATAATGGACTCTGACTTAAACTTCAATAGCCACATTGGATCGGTAACATCAGCAGCTTTTTATCATCTGAAAAATATTGCCAAAATTAAAAATATTGTGTCCAGGGCAGACTTGGAGATTCTTATCCATTATTTTGTTTCCAGTAGGCTGGATTACTGCAATGGCCTGCTCACAGGTATCTCCAAACATGCAGTAAAACAGCTGCAGTATATTCAAAATGCTGCAGCCCGAGTCCTGACTAGAACCAGGAAGTACGACCACATTAGTCCGGTCCTCAGGTCTCTGCACTGGCTTCCCGTGGCCCAGAGGATAGACTTTAAAGCAGCTCTCCTGGTGTACAAGTCTCTCCATGGCCTTGCACCAAAGTACATCCATGATATGCTAGTCCCATATGAACCAGCCCGGACTCTGAGGAGCGCAGGGACGGGACTCCTGTTAGTGCCCAGAGTCAGGACTAGACAGGGGGAGGCTGCTTTTCAGATTTATGCAGCTAAAGTCTGGAACAGTCTTCCTGAGGATGTGAGACTGGCTGCCTCTCTGTCAATGTTCAAATCCATGTTAAAGACTTTTTTTTTTTTCCTGTGCATACAACTAGAGAATTTTATCGTTTTAACACACCTTGTTATTTATTGTTGTAACTTTTTGTGTTTTTTAACTATTTTATTGTTTTTAATTACTTGTGTGATTCTTATGTTTTTAAATTACTTATGTGATTTTAATGCTTTTTAATTACATATGTGTTTTTAATTGTATTTTAATGG